GTTTGAGATACAAGAAAGCAGACCTCTCAGAATGAAAGAGGAGACCTACCAATCTTATAGAAATTGAAAGAATTAGAAGGAAATATTAGGAATAACTGTACGCCAACAGATTAGTAGATGACTTACATGAAATGCAGAGATTCCTAGGAAGACATAAACTACTGAAACTGCCTCAAGAAGAAACAGGAAATCTGAATAGAACTGTAACAAAAAAGCAGACCTCAACAGATAAATGAATCATGCGTGCATTCATTAATTCATTCATTCAACCAGCAGATGTTTGCTGAGCACCTACTCTGAGCCTCACACTGTGCCAGGCACTGATACTATGTTTCTAACCGAGGGAACTCTCAGCCTTACCAGGAGAAGCAATTGCAGTGCAGGTTCCTGGGCCTCAGCCTTGGAGGTTATGATTCAGTGGATCTGGAGGGGACCCAGGAATCTGCATTTTTAACACACATCCTTAGCATTCTGACATACAGCTGTAAATCACTATGCATAGGTATTAAAAAGACACTGGCCTGCCCTCAGGCAGCTTCCAGGCTAGTGGAGCAGGCAGAAAGATCAGCTCCAACCATGCAGTTATAACACTGGTGGTCAGTGTTTAGGAGCTAAGAGTTTTGTACCGTGAGGCAGTGACAGGGTTCTCTCCAAATCAATTCATTTCTTTCTGTCTTGGCTCAGTTGTAGGAGCTACAAGTTCACAAGCCAAACTGGAATGTGTTGTCTGTCCTTGCTCAGCATTGAGGTTCCTCTTCCTCTTGCTTTTCCTGGGGCACCACCTCTCCCCTACTCTCAGTCCCCATAGTTTGATTGGGGCTGCCCTCCACCCTTTTGGAAGATTTCCAAGGGTAGTCACATGACTCAGGCCTGACCAATCTATGTATTCCATTCTTCCGGCCACGGCGATTGGTTCATGGATGAGCACATGACCCAAGTTAGCCCAATGAGAAGCCTCCCTGGAACTTGTGATTGAATTCGTAGGAAGAAGAGTTCCCTTTACGCTAGTGTTTCTAAGGTAGAAAGATGGAAGACAAGCTATTCAAGCTACCTTCACAGTGGGTGCTGCCCAAGAATGAAATCTACCCAGAGGAGAGATGGATAGAAAAAATGTCCTAAAGAAAGACATGTATGGAGCACCTGGATCCAGCTATGCCTGAAGGTCCCGTTTCCACTCCTGAATTTTTCAGTTCTATGACCAATACATTGCCTTTTTTTTTTTTGCTTAAGCCAGTTTGCAATTGAGAGAATCCTGCTTAATGCAAAAGTCACTGTGCATTGAAGGTGGTCAGGAAACATCACTTCTCCCTTTATCCAGATAAATGTGTGTATGTCTAATATTTCTTAGAGACACATCGACA